AGCAACAGCGAAAACTGCAACCTTGATGTAGATTTCATGCATTATACAATATAAAAAATTGACATTTTTCTTGAATTGAGCAATTAAGTTGGACATTTGATAATGGAAAAAGAAAATTTGCATTAAAAAAAAACAAAAAAAAAATGCAGTCTCTTATTTCAAGTGCATGGTATCTTATTTTAAGGGTAATACCCAATAGCAGATCATCTTATATACCTGCTATAATTAAGAGTAAATACACTTATTTTAAGACATTCTTTCTTTAGATTGCTTTTGCAGGGTAGAGTTTAAAAGAGATGTATAAGGTGTGAGATTTATTTTCCCTCAAAGCTTAAAGGAGATCGGCTACAGGTAGTGCATTACTCGTTTGAGCCACAAGTGGAAAAGAGATAATTATGCAGGAAAAGTGAGCAGGGACAGAATCTAGGCTCCTTCAGGTCTGGTTTGATGTTTCCATGTCTGCTGGTGTTGCTCTACTATGTTTTATCAAGTCCTAAATTCAGTCCAGTTATTTACCAGCAGACTTTATAGCTCTTCGTGCTTCCTTCTGCTGACAGACGTTGTGGAGGTAGATGAGAATGCTTCCCAGTAGACTGATTTTTCCGTATTTTTATTGTTTATAGTATTTTTATTTAAAAACTGGAAATGAATGAACTTTTCTAAGATATTTTTAATTTATTCAGCCGCAGCCGTATAATTGTTTGAGACCCTCTAAGTTTATAACAGACCTGTTGTAGACATCCTTGCTCAGGCTGAGCGAAGACACCTTGACCCTCCTCTGACTGTTGATCAGACAGTTTCTGGCAGCCAGGTCCTTGTGAACAAAGCGGTGATTGGACAGATGCTCCATGCCGCGAGCCACCTGGGCACAGAGGGACACCTGGAGGAAGGAGAAATGACAAAGCAGAAGAGTATAAAGTAATGTTCATAAAACACTACATACATCATCAGGTTTTCTTTTTTTGCTTATTAAACATTAATAACCTGATAGGGGGATACTGCTCTGAAATAATGACATCTTTTTAGTAAAACAAGTAACTGCAGCAAAAAGACATCCGTTTTAAAGATGTTTAAAGAGCATATTTCATCATGTTCTGGAGCCAGGAAGCCTTTAAATCTCAGCAGGGTTAAAAAAAAACTTAAACATCCTGTTTTACAGTTTTTGAAAACAGATCATTATTCTTAAATATTGCTTTCAGTCTTTGGCGGCATATTTGTAAAAAAATGAAATATGCTAAGCTAAGATGTTATAAAAAAATCTGTCAAAAAACGACCCACTTTTGTGAGACAAATACATGACTAGTTTGAAATCTCTTCTAAAGGAATTTATAGTTTCCTTCTGGCTACTTAAGTAAAGATGAGGCTGTATCTCTTACTTTCCCTCAGAGGTCACGCTATGCAGGATTTATTTTCTTGCAGCAAGGTTATGGATCATGTTTAAAGCTGAATTAAAGGTTTAAAGGTTCAGGTTTTATTGTCCTTAGAGTTTAAGAAATTTGGAAATGGGCTGCTGATGCTGGTTTCAGGTTGATATTATCAGGGCAGCTTATAATTAGTCAAAAATAAAAATCTGAATTCTGAATTTTTAATGACAGAGGTTTTTAAATCAGTTTATAGTAATAGTAATGTCAAAATTCAGCTGACGAGTACCAGTGCTTTGTTTGGGATCTTAGCCTAAACATGGCTTTGAAATCTAAAAGTTAAAAAGGTTTTAAAGCACAAAACAAAAAGAATAACCTGACTGTTATTAATGAGGTGCTTTTATCTGGAGGTAACTTGAAAAACAAAATGACTTACGGTAGATTGATAATTTTAGCTATTATCTTTACATAGTTAAATAAAATATGCAGATTCAAAGTTTTTCTATTATCGGTCCATTTCTTCCTGTTCTTCTCCATACTTTTCAGGAGCAGTGATGTTTTTAAATCACTGTTTAGGGTGATAATATACTAGACTTCCAAGCAACTGACTCTCAGACAAAATTCATCTGAAAGTAAATAATATAATTTCCTATATTTAAACCATCCGGAAAAAAACGTCTGGCCCAGATTGAAATAAAAATGTCTTTAAATGCCAAAAATCCCCTTTAAAAGCAGCTCTAGAGTAGAATCTGTCACTTATTAAACATGGAGGACCTACCTTGGTCTTGGTGCTGATTGTCTGAGGCTTCGCTTTATCGTCTTTGCTTTTTGATATTTTTAGGAACTGCTTTAGATCACCCTGTCAGCAAAAAAGAAAAACTGAATTAAAATTGACTCAAAAGGGAAATATGGCAAAAAAAAGTGTAAAATGTTTGTTTCTTTGGCTCAGCTCCCGTGTGCGTACCAGGTCATAGTACTCCAGGATCATGTAGTGCGGCTCAGCCTCTCTGCAGACGCCCAGCAGGCGAACCACATTAGGGTGGTTCAGCTTGCCGAACATTTCAGCTTCACGTCTGAAGTCGCTCTGCAGCTGCTCGTCTCTGGACTGCAGACACTTCACCAGAACCACCGTCTCAGCGTCATTTTCTTCAATGCCTTTAGCTTTGGACAGCAGCACCTCGCCGAACTCGCCTTTACCTGATCAAACATCCACCAAACACACATCAGAACAGATGCACAGTAACATACTTTCTATTCTGCTATGATATCTACAACAGAAAAATCCTACCAAGTGTTGTGATGGTTTGGAGGTTTGCACGAGGGAAGTGGAGCTTATCGCTGGCGTGGCTGTGCCGCTTCTCGGTTGCAGTGACGGTACCCACGTTGGTGAGCGCCACTTCCTCCTGGATCTCAGCCGTGGTGTGGCCATTCTGCTGAACAGCACCTCCTGATGAACACAACACAGTGGGTTTGAAATGTAAGGTGAAGGTTAACACATACTGTCACCAAGCATGATACCAACTATACCCAAAACAAACACTAGGTGGCAGCAAATATCAACACATTTTTAACATGAAGAACATATTTTTTTTTTCTTCAAAACTACATCAATATAGTCTTGCATTAAACTTTTTAGAAAACTGCAGTGTTTAATCTTAACATATTTATGATAAAATAAAGTTGATGCTAAGGAACAAATGTTTCTGATAAAACCTTTTACTATCAGAATCATTTACTGTATTTTTCATTCAGTCAATGATCTTTAGTTTTCCTTGTAGGGCAGAGGTACCCAAACTACGGCCCACAAGCCGGATTCGGCCCGCTTCCACATTTGCTCCGGCCCCCTGAACAATACCAGAGATATTTTCATATAAGTGTTTTTTTTTATTTTTTATCTTTTTTGTATTTGTAAATAAAGTTGGACATTTCCAATAAAATGTTCCTTAATTATGAAGTTTTTCATTATTAACTATTAGTAACTATTTCATACACACCTATAACGTGACAATGTTCCACCCTTTTGGGGTCTGTGCCCCTAACTGGCGACCCCCAACAAAAAATCTTAAACCCGCCCCTCTCAAAGAGATATGGAAGAGGATTAGGGCCATTTAAAAAAATAAAAATAATAGTCTATTCAATTCTGACCCTTTTCTCAGAATTATGATTTTAATGCCAGAATTCTGACTTTTTTCTCAGAAATCTATCAGCGCAATCAACCCTTTTTGGCAGCACGTACTGTATATCTGCAAGCAAACCTTTTCACGGATGAAACTGCTGAAAACTTCAATAAAATCAAGATTGACAGATGAACATCTGCATCAGTGTTTGAGACTGGCAGTGACCAAAATGGAACCTGACATTCAACTTCTCACCAGCCAGATGCAGGCGCACAGTTCACACTGATGGAACATATAAAAGTAAGATCACTTTTCTGATTTGAATGAGTCACTCTGAGTATAAAAATATAATCATAATAAAATCTACTGGGATAAAATCCATCTCCATAACCATACTGGTAGTGGTTGTGCTGTGTAGGTGCTGTATCACTTAGTTCAGTTTCTTAGTCTGCTTGCTTTGTAGGTTTCACAGGGAAGTTAATGAGAGAGAGAGCTGCAAACAGTGATGTCCACAATCTATTTGAACCTACAAAAAGATTATAAGGAAGGAACATAAGAACTTTGAGAGCCATTTAAGTAAGAGATTCTGCTTTGACAACTAAGCTGAACTTGGACCTGTTAAGATTGTTCACAGCACAACAGAAGGTTTATGTTCCATGGACCCAGAGAGTGTTATTTGGTTATTATTTATTTAATAAATAGTGTTATTTATTTCCTGACTTTTGCTCTGTGAATAATCCAGAAAGGGTTCTTTGATTGTGTTTTCTGGAAGACAATACATTTTTTACGTCAAGGCACTCTTGCAATCGTCTCAATTTTTCTGCTACAAACTGACCCCTGCACCCCATCAGAGAAGGGAAAAGTTATGTGGCCCTCACAGGAAAAAGTTTGGGGACCCCTGTTGTAGGGTATCATATGGATGGGTGATTTGATCTATATAATAATACAAAAAAAGCTTTACAAATGAATAAACAATAAGTTTTAACAACACTACTCTGAATGTAAAGCTTAAACATCATAAAATCGGCAACTTTATTAGACCAGTTAAAAGGGAGGTGTAATTGCGTATTTAACCTCACACAATAAAGACTTTAAATCCTTTTAAATAAGTCGATTTAATCGATGTTCCAACGAACTAAACAGTTAAAAATTAAGGTTTAATCTGCAGAAGTAAAAATCCAACCATATCACTGAAAGGTTAACGTTGTCCAGGTGAAGCTGACTTCTAAAAGTAATGCTTTTTATGCTACAAATGGTACAATAACTGACTAAAGTGCTAATTTAGCTGCTGTTCAAAATGGGAAAGACATGCGATTCAAGTAAGGCAGTGATGATCCTTATAAGTAAAACAATAGTAACTTGTCTAAACTTGTGCATCCCCACGGGGCAGAACGATTATTAAAAGAAAAGCCACCTTACAGTAAGAAGGACGGTAAGAGATGTGAGAAAAAAAAAAAGTGCAATACAATATACTGTTGGAGAACTGACATCTTGTGCTTCTAGTTTATTGTAGCTATGATTTGAAATAATCACTTCATTCTGTTTGGAACGGTAGAGGATCCATGATGCTTTGGGCTCATTTCTCCAACAGAAGCTTATTGGTGTGCATTTCCAATTCAGACACTAACTTCCCGAGTGCAGGGACGGCTTCCTACCATTAAGACACTCCATCTCAGGCTCCTCTCCATCCTGGTTCTTCTGCAGTCTCTTGGCGTTGCGTCTCTTTTTGCAGTAGAACATGAGTCCCAGCACCACAATGATGTAGGCCACCGCTGCCCCCACGGACAACCCGATGGTTTGGATCATCTTATAAGCAGCCTTGTCATCGTCGTTGTCCTCGTGATGGAGGGGAAATAATTTGTCTGCAGGATGAAGAACAGTGAAACATCAGTTGATATTGAGAGCGTGTTTTTAGATTTACAGAAAGAAATATGTGAAACCCTTTTCCAGGTGGTTTAGGGATTTAAAAGCCTGATGGATGCTGCAAACATATGTTCTACAGGAAATATAAAGTCCTTCAGAGCTAAACAGATTAAAATGATTGTGTTACTGTTAGGTTTGTCACACAAACCCAAACAAAAAAATCCAGTCTCTTAAAGGAGTCGTCCTTCTGTTCAGGTTAGCAGGCGGCACATGAGTGTTATAATATGTAATTTTAACGACCTCCGAGTCTGAAGCTTTATTAGATCCAGCATCTACCCTATCCCTTCACCCCTGTGACAGCCATGGCGTCAGAGACGTGGAGCCGGTTATTAACCTGTCGCCATGGGTGATGGACAGACGCGTGGAGGTTTAATTAATGCCTTCTCTTTGCTCCTGCGATTGTGGCTCACCGCTCCACGTGTGCACCTTTGTCCCTGATAAAGAAGATCTCTGGAAGCATGCCTCTCTGTGTGTGTGTGGGGGCGATAGAGAGTTAAACCTACCCACTACGTAGAGCTGAGCCACACGGTCTTTGATGCTGCAGCTGTTCCCAGCCACACATGTGTAGCGACCCGTGTCCTCAGTGGTGACTTCTCTTATTATCAGCGAGCCGTTGGGCATCTTCTGGATTCTGGAGAACAAAAACAGAGTAAAATGCCATTTTTAAGACCTACTTACTGAAACTTGTGTCTACTCTCTCTTAAACTATACTTTTTAACTGGTAGTTGTACATTAACTTCTGATTGATTGCATTTGATTAGCAGAGGTGTAAAAATCTATAAACCAAAATAATTCAACACAACGTGGGACACAGGAAAAGGTAAATAAAGAGGAAACATGGATGGAGGATAGAGAAAGAAAAGGATGAATGAATAAATTTATGTTGTTCACATGGAATTAAAGAAGCAAGGACAGGAGGACACAAAGGAGGAAGGACACAAGAGGTGGATCACAAAAAAAAATAAAAAGAAGGACTAAAATAAGGCGAGAAGAACATGAAGGGAATAAAGGGAGGAATTGATCCTTGAGACAAAAGGGAATAAAGGAAGGAGGACAGAGGAAAGAAATGAGAAGGGAAGGAAGCAAGAATAGAAATAAGGCAGGTAGATGAGACTCAAGTAAGACTGACAGTAGGAAGGATGTTGCTGTTCTGGAAAATAAATTATTTATCTTGTTTTTCTTATTAAAGCTAAATTTTCAGATAGTCAAATCCTATGAAGAGGAAAAAATTACTATATTTGTACATTTCTTTGTTTAGACAAAAACTATATGTGTTTTTTATAATAAATATCAGTTCAACTACCAATTTAACAAAAAAAAAAATCTAGTTCAACTTTAAAGTCGCTTCACTGTTTAAATTAAAAGCCAGCTGCTGCAATGATTCTGCACACTTTACATCTGTTTGGTCCCGTTTCTCATTTACCTGCCGTTCTTAGTGATATCCAGGGTCTTGTCTTTCACCATCCAGTGGATGTGAGGCTCAGGATCCCCGCTGGCCTGGCAGTGCAAAACAGCAGTGTGTCCCTGGTAGACAGTGGTGTTCTCTGGCTCCACCTTGAAGCGAACGTACACTTGGTGTGCAAAGAAACGCGTGCAAACACAGACAGACAGAAAAAAATGCAAAAAGTTTATTAATTTCAGAGCAAAACTAGAGACTAACCTGGACAACAGAAACCCACAGATCCTCAGCTATTGCTAAAAATATCCTCAAAAGGACAATAAATGCTGCTTTGTTTGGATTCTTTAAAGAAACATCAGTCAGGGTTGGTGTTTACCTGCCACAGTGAGGGTGACCAGGGCTCTGATCTCCCCCTGCAGGCTGTTGGAGGCAATGCAGGTGTAGTTGCCAGCGTCGCTACGAGTGACTTTGGCGAAGCGGAGCTGGCCGTTCCTCTGATCCAGGTGCGGGGGTAGCTCTCCTCCATCTGTAGGGGGAGACAGAGAGGCAGGGAGTGGCTTTAGGAGGAGACTGGAAATCCATTGCGGTTAATGAAGACAAATGAGATCTACAGTAGAAGTCAATGATCACAAGTCTTTTTCACACCATCTTTTTTTTTGTATTGGAGGTAAGATATAGTTAAAATAGGTCTTTCGACATCAGATCTGCAGCAGCGGAGAGCAAATAAAAACAAAACAAGCCGGCCTCCTGTCTGCGGCACTGTCTGCGGTCACCTACAATTTGAGAGAGGTGCAGCAGAGTGTCTGCAGAGGGGGCGGGGACATCTTTTTGTTCACTGCAACACCTACGCAGACGACCTAGTTTCGAAGTATAAATCAGCCTTAAGCCAGCAACATGCATACCTGCTTTGGTCCAGCGGATTGTGGGGACCTCTTTGCCCTTGGCGGAGCACTGGATGATGATCTCCTTATCCAGCTCCAGGCACTGGGAAGGCTGGGGGGTGGGTGTGAACTTCAGCTTCTCTGAAAGTCCAAGAAACATTACATGTGGTTAACACCTTCAGTGAAAACATGGGGAGGCGGGGAAGGTTAAATCCTTCTTTGTGCAACTCTCCCTGCAGATGAAAGGACAGCGGGCTGACATCTGCTGTGCTTTGCAAACACATTCAGACCCCTTGAATATCTAGCGACAAGCTTTAATGTATCTCTTCGAGGTTTTATGTGAAAGACCAAGACAAAGTAACCCATAGCTGTGAATTAGAGGAATGACAACGTTTTTTTCTCCTGATGTGAGGTGTGTTTACGTTTTGCACATTGACATTGAAATATTGCTCACTGTTGTCTCAGATCTTAGGGGGTTCTTTACAATCCAAAGAGAAAATTTTTTCCCTCAGTCCAGCTAAATAAAGCTTTTTTAGAACTACAAATGTTGCAGCCTTACCCCAGACAATATTTATTTATTAAGGTTTTTACGGCACTATTGGTTTGTTTTTGCGACAGTGGGCTGACAGGTACGAGAGAGGCAGAGAGACATGCGTCAAAGGATCAAAGGTCAGATTCAAACCTACTTCAGCCACATTGAGGACTTAGGCCTCCTACATGGGTCGTGTGCACCAACCACAGCATCACCGAAGCCACCCAATATTTACCAGTGCTTGAGATTAATCAGGGGTCGGCCGTGGTCAGGAGCACAGATTAGGCAGCAGAAGTGTTTTAAGCAATTTATAAACTCACAGTTTAAACCTGGTTTAAAAATGTAATTGTTATTTTTCCTTCCAGGATTGTCATGTATTTAACTCCATCTGTGACAACTTCTCAGTCCCTACCGATAATGCTGCTGCCATCACCATGCTTTTCTGCTGAACAATTTGAAGCGCTGACTTTTTACCAAAGAATTAGCAAATGTTTTGGTTTAGGTCTCATCTGATCCTAGCACACTCCGCCTGCTCTCTAATATGACTAACTTTCAACAGATGATTTCCTTTAAGGAGATCTTCTGATATGAAAATTATCTCTGCAGCTTCTCCAGATTCAATATGAATACATTTCCTGTCAGTTAAAGGGAAACATCCATGTCTTAGAAGTTGTTTGAGTCATGCTCTTAAGTTTAGAGGCTTTAAATGTGTCCACATAGAACAGCTTTCCTAGAAAAACTGGATTTAAAATTAGATTAAATAACCACATAAGTAATCTTCTCACGTAAACAAGCACCTGGTTGTATTTAAGTGTTTCTGGTTTAGTCCAGCTTCACAATTAGAGAATAATCTGTTCGAATGATGCTAAAAAAATCCCAATAAAATAAAGTTTTAGGATTGCAGCGTCATAAAACATTATTAGCTAGGATTGCCTCTGCAGCCTCAGAGGTTGAGATCATTCAAACAGGCTGGCCATGTCTCGAGGTTTAAACCTACAGGAGGAATCGGGAATGCATAATGGCGATAAGGTGTTAAAAGTCTGCATGAGTCATGAATCACACCTCTGTGTGTGCCCTGCAGAACGCCCACGAAAACGATGCCAATTCCTGATTTAGCAGACCCAAACAGGCATGAAGAAGGTTTGTTTTGTTGCTGATGATATCAGTCATTGCACTCATTTAAAAAAGAAACCAAACAGAGAAGCAAATTGGATGAAATGACCAGCAGGACGATTTTCCCGCAGCTTACCAAGCACCGTGACTTTAGCTAAGCCACTCAGTCTGCCGCCTAGGTTCTTGGTTTCACAGCCGTACATGTGAGCGTCGTAGACCTCCACGTTGTTGATTCTCAGGGTGCCATTAGGAAACAATTTAAAACGAGTGTCCTGGGAAGGCAAAATAAAAAAAATACAGACTCTCAGAAGGAGTTCTATGTTTTATGATTTGAAGATTTCACAGCTGTGTTATGACAACAAACCTCTGGCACAATGATTAAGCTGCTGCGGAACCAGGTGACCTCAGGTTCAGGGTTGGCCTGAGCATAACAGTGCAGGTAACCTGGTTTACCTTCTTCCAAACTGCTGTCCTGAGGTTTAGACACCCACACTGGGGCAGCTGTGGACGCACACCAAAGATAACATCATGTATTTTCACTATGTCCTCACAGCTCTGCAAGATGCACCTCAAAATGTCCAAATCAAACAATTGGTCACACTGTTCTCAACATTGTCCCCACGACACACAACCAATACGATTTTTGCAAAAAAGTAAGATTTTTCTTTCCTTATTTAGTTTTTTTTATTATCAAAATCGTCCAATAATAGTTTGACAGCTGGAGTGTAAAAATCTACTGAAACACAACAACATACTTCACCCCTAATCAGACAAAGATACACTGCAAAGGATTGAAATCATTCATTTATTTTTATTCCATTTAATTTATCAAATAATCTTTTTTTTCTTGTTTTTTTTTTGAAAGAATGTTACATGTACTTCGATTTATTAAACATTTATTTTTGACAATGTCAACTATTTTTTGAAAGAATTAAATCTTATTTTTTTTTTGTTTTTTTTTACCATTAATCATTATTAAAGAAACAAATAATTTTAAAGGTCATAGCTACAACCTTTTATCTAAAACAAAGAAAAGGTAATTAATATTTTATCAACAACTTACTAGCTACGGTAAACGTGACGTTCTTGATCCTGCGCCCGGCCTTGTTTTGGGCCACACAGGTATAGACGCCTGAATCTCCCTCTTCCGTCGGACTGAAGACCAAATCCTGGCCCTCCTGGTGCACCCGGCCCTCCTCAGGCACCTTCTGACCTTCCCTCTCCCACCAAACCTCGGGTTCAGGCTTCCCTCGTGGGGGGTGACAGTTTACACGCTGAACGGTGTCGGCGACGAACACCTTCGACATCTTTGGCGACATGTCTCCGATTTCTGTGGAGGAGGGCGAGGAGATGGAAAAGACCCCGCGTGAAACAGAGATTTAAATAGCTACTAATGGTTTTAATTTAATCATCGATTTTCTTTCAGAGTTGCTGAAGCATTTGGAATGTGACCCCATTTGACCACAGCTAATTCCAAAGTAAAGGATTTCTTGTCTTGTTTAAGTAAATCCTCTGATTTGAGAAGCAGGCTGCAGAAATCAGTGCAAAGTAGACAAACGGAGAACATATAGGTTGGACTTAAAGGGGATTAACTCCTGTTTAGAGGGTCAAAGCAAAAATCAGCAGCCTCTAAATACAGAGAGCAATGAGATCTGTGTTACAGCTCACAAGACCTTAGACTGCTGTTAGCTTTAATACCCAACCAGAAGACATTAATACTTTATGGGCCAGCAGAGCTCTAAAGGCTGAATGCAAGATGGAAGAGAGGTGGGATAGAATCAAGGAAGAGCTGAAGGACAGGAAGAAGGGAAGAGAGGACATTAGGAAAGATGGAAGGATATATGGAGGAACAGAGATTAGAAAAAAGGAAAGAAGGTTAAGAAGGAGCAAAAAAAGGAAGCAAAATGACAAGAAATGAAAGAAGACAAGAAATCAAATAAAAGAAAAAATAAAGAAGGAAAGAAAATGTTAAGAGAGACAGGAAGGAAGGAGAAAGGAAGAGCAAAAAGACAAAGTGTTGAAGATCACGTACGCAAAGCCTAAATACTTGCAGGTCTGAAACAGAGCAGATTAATCTCAGCGCAGGAGACCCATAATGCAACAGTTCTTTTCTCTAACCACAACAGTTTAGATTGTAGCTTGAACACAGCAATGTGTTATTGATGCCTTTCTTATGTCCTGAAAGAGCTGTTTATATCGATAAAATCTATTCTTATAAAAACGGTTTTATGTTACATCAGTGATCATCTTATTGGTTCCAAACTGAAACCAGAGTAAAATGCTGTGTTCATGGCATGAATTAGTCTGGATGACCTGGTTAGAAAAAACAGATAAAGGTCATAAATGGGGTAAAGAAAATACACCCATTTTTCCTCAAAAATTTTAATTTCCTCTACTTATCCAGATCTATGGAAAAAAAAACAGTGAAATAAATGTCCAGAGCTTTTCAGACTGTGGAGGAAAAAAACAAAGGAAAGAGGAAGAGTAACAAAGGTGTAGCACAGATGGGACAATTAAAACCTGTGACACAGTGCTCTAGCTGGGGTATCACCAGGCTATTTAAATGGAGCTGCAGTTCAATGGGTTTAAACTGCAGATACATTCGTACCTTGTTAATCCATGACCCTTGGGAAAACGAGGAAAGAAATCAGGTGATCAGGACTTTGAAGCGCTGAGAAATTCCAGCGCTGAGCTCAGTTCCTAACTTGCATGCACATGCATCTGAACATGCAAGAGGAGAAGATCTTGCAGCTAGCTCTACAGGATTCTAACACTAACCCACTGCACCCAGTTAAAACTATTCCTTAGAGAGTTTTTCTTGCATTTTCTTATATAAAAGTCATACTTTTTATATTTTTGCTTAGGTAAAGAAAAAGAAAACCATGAACAAGTTTCTCCCTCTTTTGCTGCAATGCTTTCTGTTGTTTTTTTTTACGTTACACTCCAGTTGATCAATTTGAGGTTTGTTGCTGTGAAAAACATTTAAGGTGCATGAGTAGTTTTGCATGGAGCCGAATGGTTCTTTTCCTTCTTTCAGCAGCACCATGATGTTATTCCGAACTGTTGATCTCTGCCTGGTGTCACTTACTTTGGAGGAAGCTTGTTTGTCTAAACAAGTCTGGAAAACACCTGGGCTGTTTGAGGAAACAATTTGATCCACTGGAGACTTCAGCATGTATCGAGTACAAGCAAGGCCGGATGTCTGTACGGGAATATGATCATCAGGGAGATCTGGCTCTAAGTGAAAGGAATGAAGTGCAGCGCAGAGCCATAGAGGGGGAGATAATGTCCTCTCAGATTTCAGAATCAGGTTTTTGTCCGTCACTAATCCAACAGCTGCAGTTTAATGTGTGTGTGGGGGGTGCGAGTGTCAGCGTACCGGCTATTAGGAGAGAAGCCGTCAGCGTGACCTTAGATCCTGTGATGCCACGGCCAACACACTTGTAGTCTCCTACGTTCCTGGGCTTGACTTGTGTGATCAGCAAACTCCCATTGGACAGCAGGAACACCCTGCAGGGAAGACAAAGATTTAACTAAAGCTAAAGCAATGTTTTGGTAGTGCATGAATTAAATGGTACAGAACCAGAGCTCCTACAGATGGATAATTCAAACTTAACTTCCCAAAGTTGTTTTGGCCAAGTCCAAAATTACAAACACAGAAAGGTCAAAGAGGATGGATGGATAGAGAAATACATTAATGAACAAAGGAGTAGATACAAAGACAGACTGAACAGGAAAATAAAAAAGAGAGGGAATGGATAATATATAGGTGATGGGAGGATAAAGAACTAATCAATGGCTTGATGGATAAATAAACTTGCGGACAGATGAATCGACTAGAGATTGATAACCGGGATTGATGGTAAATAATGGGATTGAGATCTGGAACTACAAATATATTTTATGTTAATTCAGACCAGAAATATTAATAATAATCAAATTCCAGGCTTCATATACTGAATCAAAACCCAGAATAACAGCTCATACAATTAAATCCCCTCAACTAAGGCCTCATCTGCTGGGAATTCCCAGCTGAAACCCTTCAACCTTGACAAGTGAGTTTATCCCTCCTAAACTGGGCAAAAAAACAATCAGCATCTTTAGTCAGCAGGAGGAAAAATGTCTTTAGCAATGAAAATAAAGCCTTCCCTCATTCTGCTATAACTTCAAAATATGAACATCCTTCGGGGGTCCAGGCTGCCAGCTGGACCCCAGTTGCTGGAAGCATCAATGTAAGCGATGCAAGGTAATTAAAGGCTGACCTTAAGCCAGAGTGAGATGGAAATCTCTCATGTCATAATATCTCCAAAGTCAAACCAAGAACTCATCACTGAACTTATTGTGGATTTAGTTAAAAAAGCAAAAAAAGAAACTAAGATTAATTACATACTAATAAAGGAAGAAACAAGTAAAATTGTGAGTGAATGTTTTTATATTTCTTGTGTAGAATGATCAATGAGCAGGACTCCTCCAGGACTCTGAGCTTCTGCTGTGGATTCCCTGAAGAGAAGTGATATTTCTGTCATCTTGTCTTCTTTGTTCAGGATCAGGGAGGGAAATGAGCTGCGGGACCTTGAGTACATCCCCCCCCATGACTGCAATGATGAACTAGTCTGCAAAACAATTTCAATCTGGATGGAAACCTCCAAAATAACCTCAGAAGAACAATATCCTCATCGCTCTGCTGGATCGCAGGCATAAACAATCGTTCGGCTTCACATTTTTACAACGGCCTTGAGCTTAAGCATGTCTATTTTCTTCTAATTTCAAACGAATGAAAACAATCCTCATCGGATAAGTCAAACAAAAAGTCTGCAGAGGGTTATCTAAACAGAGCAGAACAGAGGATTTTCCGCAGAGCTGCATTCCTCTGGCGTTACAATCAGCTCAAATCAATAAACAGGAATACACAAAACACAAATTCCTCAACCACAGCGAGGTCAGGTTTGAAAGAGAAATCTAAATCTTTTTTTGCAAGCCTGCCAGCACTGCCTTGGTTTATTAAACAAGTGAGCAGCCGGGGATATTTAAGTCTTTCACCTTGAGTTAAACCCTGAAGATGAAATAACAAAGAGATTATCTCTGACATAGCGCCTTGCAAATGCATTCAATGGTTTTCATGATTTCTTTTTTTTTTTTATTACAAACTTCGGTTTGTATTGTTGGGATGTGGAAGGAAGAGGGTACACTTTTTTAATTCTTTTGCAATAAAAATATAAGTGTAGTATGCATTTGCATTTTATTTTTTTTACTGAATCAGTCAATAGAAACCTTTTTGCTCAATTACAGCTGTGAGGATTTAGGGGTAATTCTCTAAAAATTGCAAATCTGTAGACTATATTTTCTGTCCTCTTTGCAAAGTAGTTCATGTTGAGTCAAGCTGGAGAGGCATCTTTGCATTAAGGTCTGTACTTTAACTAGGCTGTTTTGACACATGATTATGGCTGCTTGTATGTTTTGCGTCTCTGCCCTGCTGGAAGGTTAACCTTCACACCATCAATTCTTCCTGTCTGTGCTGGAGAACAGCATGCCCACAGCATCACACACCTGTCTACAATAGTTCAGTGTGTTCATAATGTTTGCCCTGAAGTCCTAACAGAACATTAACCTTGACGGATTATGACATACACCTTTGGTGGTAACAGTTCGGGCCTCTTTCTGCCTTCAGAAATGTCTCAATTCTTCTTCTCTCGGATTCAACAAAGAATCAGAAACGTTTCTCAGAGAATTCTCTTTATATCACCTAAGTCGCTGCAGGTTGGTTTGGCTCTGAATCACCTCTCCACCAAATTGTAAGGTGTTCTACAGGATACAAACTCCAAATGACATGCTTTGTAGAAAAATGCATCCCAGTGAACCTGCAGCTCCTGTACAGTAGCAGCCATTCAAAATGTCCCTTCCCAGTCAAACGCCAGCTGAATGGCAGGCCACTCCCTGCAAAAAGCCCCCCCACCCCCCTCCATGAAGGGTCTGACCAGGAGATGATGCTTCTCTTTAGATCTTAATGTCCACAAATCGTGACAGAAGGAATATTTTAGTACAAAGATTGATGTTTAAAAAGGAATTGTAGGGTACCAGCAAAGAACAGGCCAAAGGTCCATCAACGAAAGTGGGGAAATTGCTGCTACTGTATGTGCAATTGGTTAGAGTCTACACACATTTGGGCTCTCTAGGCACTATGAATGCACAACTACATGCCGAGGCAGACATGTAGTCCAGATAATGGACTTTCACCTTGTCTCATTCATTACCTGAACAGGACTACAGGGCAAAGAGCCCATTATAGAGAAACTGTAGAGCCAAACAGATGGAAACCGGTTTGATCTGTGTGGGCTGAAGAGCAGCATAACCCAGATTGAACGAAGCAATGAAATCTGAATAATGACAACACAGCTGCAATGTGATATTATGTAAACTAAACAAGAATACAACTTTGTCAGAAATATAACAGATATGAATAAATGAAATAATACTAATAAGATATAGTATGAGGATTTATGACATGTAAAGCGTGATGATTACTGGTATATTTTCTACTTTTAAAACATTTTCTTGAGTTTTTTTACAGGTTAATTTTTTGCCTCTTGTTGAAAACTGTGTTTAAATATCTAAACATTATAGCATGAGATAAGAAATACTTCATATCTATATTACTATTTGCAGTATTAAATTTAATAAAAAAAAATGACAACCCTCCTTTTGCTCCCTATTTCTCTGTCCTGCTACTTTGCTTCAACATACCCTAATTAAGTTAAGGAGTAATTAATAGACTTCTGCAGTACTTGGTGACATTCTGGGGAGTCAAACTTTAAACATGAAGGCCGATGAGATCAGAGCCACTTTTTCCACAGCGTACCCCGACAGTGTCAGCATCAGAGAGGAAATCAAGACTTGGTTCCTTGTTTTTAACTGGACGGCGGATAGGGGAGTGCAGCCTGCATGGTCTTCTGCTGCTGTAGTCCATCTTTACTGTCATCTAGGCTATGTATGGTTATTTACTGAGATTAATATACACCTTGTGGGACTTTACTAGTATCTAGGCAGCTTTTAAAAGCTTTGCTGGATTTTCTGAGACTAACAAAGTAAAGGGTCTCAAATACATAATAAATAAAAGCATGCCACACATTTGAGGGTTTTATTTGGAAAGAAAATGAAAAACCCATGGATAATTTCTTTTTACTTCACTTTTATGTATCACTTCATGTTGTTAACTTCATAAAACACCAGTTATATTGAAGTTTGCAAGAGCACTGAGTGTATATAAGGGCTTTACTGGTAGCCTGAGGGCGGTTTCTGCTCACTGTGAGAAAACTAGAGGACTGAGACTCCTTTGTGATGGAGGGAGAGAAGGGCTGTGTTTATGTGATGTATGATGGACGGCTGAAACATTTTATGTTCCAGTGTTACAGCTACAGCTTCCCTTAATGTTGAAACGGCACAGAGAGCCAGGAGGACACTTCAAAGGTTCCTACAAAAGGAAGTGGAGAAACTTCCCAATGCAGCGGATTCTAAGGAGGATGGATCTTAGGTTTGAGTTGGGAGATGAGAAGAGCAGGTAAAGACAGATGATTGGTCGATAGAAGCATTAAAATAAAGCGGTGGAACAAATTAAAGATGGTACATACCGGGACTTGTTAATCAGCAGCTCGTTTCCATGGTACCACTCCAGCGTGGGTACGGGCTCGGCGGTAAACTGACAGTGGAACATGGCCTCATCGTTCCTCATAACCACCTGGTCCTCGGGGGTGACCACCGCCCTCGGGATGCTACTGTCTATGAAACAGGTATAAAAACATATGCATGGTTACATGCACACCTGATTCCACCGGCAACAAGTGGTTTTCATGCTGCAGTTATGAACAGGCGCCTTTTGATTAGAAGCTGCAAGCAGCAGCTTCAGGTTGATCTTGGCTTCAATGCCTCAACATCCACACGGAAGAGTTAATAAGGTCAATGAACCAACCCTTAAGCTTATCCTGGACTTTATCTTTTGTTCCTCTTGGGTCATTGAACCAGAGATTATCCCCTCTGTTTCTGTGATCATCTTAAGACAATCTATCCCCACAAATTAAGGTTAAATGAATAAAAAAACAAGAAAGACCTGATGAAAGATTTCATAAACAGTTCTAAGTCATATACCTGATCTTCTCTTTGAGTTGTTTTTTAATCCATTGTCATTTAATAAATGAAAATAAAATCTTTTGTGTGCTTTTATAGATTATAAACATTTGAAAACCTGATGAAGCCCAAACTGATTTGTTATTTTATGAAAAAAGGCCTGCTGGGAAAAACTAGGGGGAGATTTGTTATACAATGCAAGCATGACGAGTATTCTACTCTGAATAAAAAGCTAAAAACTGCTGAACTCCATAAAGTAGGAGGGAGAATGAAAATCTCCCCAAATCCAGGCAGGTTTAGAGATTAGGGTCAAAACCTCAAAGCTGCAAAGCTATGAATACGAGGAACGGGGCCAGAGGCTCTGTTGGGATAAGACTCAGGGCTGGTTTAGGAAAAAACACAACAAAAAAAGGTGTGAAGTAAGACAACACCTGGCCCACCCAAGAAATCACTGGGAGGGCCTCCATGTACAGGAAAAACAGCTTTTTTTCTTACAGTGACGCCTAAAAGAAAGACAGAATCTGTAACTGGAAACGTGTTGTTTTCTTCCCCTACACACAGGTGTTAACATCGTTTTTATGTGTTTTATGGGTGGGTAATAAGTTGGAGCTAGGGCTAAAACAATTAGGCAGATTAATTGTGATTAATCGATTATTGAAATAAACGTCAAATCATTCAGTAATCGATTCATTGTTAACTGGAGAGTAGAGACTCTAAAACATGTCTTTATGTGACAGAACGACCCACATTGTAAAACATATATCAAAATTTTGCATTTAAGATAAAAAATATAGAGATTTTTTTGTTCATATGCTCTATCCAGAACTCCTCAAGTGGAAAAGTTTTAGTTTCACCCATTTTATTTTTTCCAATTTTGTAAAAAGTCTTCTTTAAACAAGCTTTAGCTATCAGATTTTTAATCAATTAATCAAAAAAATAAAGACAGATTAATCAATTTTCTAAATATCATTAGTTGCAGCCCTATTTGGAGCACAGATGTAAACTTTAACTACATCTAAAGGGTTAAACAACATATCCTGATGGATCACAAGCAGCGTCTCTGAACAACAGACAGTTCTTCCACTCGGATCATCATTGGGATCTCTCTGCTTCAGGATATTCAGTTACTGTTGGCTTACATGTTTTTATATTCATATTTCAGCCTGTGTGGGTGGTGAAAAAATAATGGTACGTGCACGCTCTTTTATAATCTCATTAGAGGCCGTTTCAGGGCTTCCTCTTGCTTTTTCTCATCACTAATGGTGTTTAAACGTACATCCTTTCCTTTCATTTGCAGTAGCAGCACACTTTAAAAAAAGCAAAGAGGAAAATCAACATAAAATGGAATAAAGTGAATAATGGCTAGGAGTTTACAACTATCTCTATGTCGGGGCTTGACCTAGGGCGTTTGACTTAATCAGTTAAATTGGCCGTCCATATTTACATGCACGAGGAATCCTGTTAACAAAAAGGGGAGTTTTATATTTTCTCTTTTAACATAATTTCATATAATGTGTGATTATATTTGGTCTTACACGTTTGAACATGTGATTTTCTTGGATTTCTTTTAACCAAACCCCTTACCTATTAATGGATTTAAAATAAATTCATAATAAAAAGACATTAAGGCGTCCTTTTTCATTTTTTTCATTTTTACTCCATTAAACGTGAATAATTCTGATCAAAATAAACTTAATACCAGAAAATGATATCCTGTGTGAATACATAAAAAGCAGTTTTCAAACCACCATTCTATGAATTAATGGAAGTAAATAACCATCAAACCAACCAGGCAACATGGGAAATAAACATTTTTTTTGTTTCATTAACCTACAAAAACCAGGCCTGTTTTTTTAAGCAGCACCTTTCTTCCAACATGAAGTAGGCTTAAAGACAAAACCTAAAAAATACTTCAGAAAAGGAAAATCATGCTGCCAGTCAAAATTGGGCCTGAAAACTGAGGAAGCTATGAATTCAGCATTTTACCTATAAAGTAGAACAGTCTGGCTTTCCATTTCTTTTTTTTTGCATCTCTGAATGGCTCTAAAATAACATGGAGCTTTGGGGATAGGTTCAAGTCAGGGTTCATTTTAGAGTCACTAATATGGAATGATTTAAAACAATTCTGGAAACAGTGGACTATCATTTCCTTTAGAACAATAAAGATAAAAACAAACCATTAATGATACAGCCATGAT